CCTTTGAATCTTCAGTTAATTATTGATCAGTGAATGTATATGCTAAGAACCAGAAAAAGAATCACAGGTACAATCATCCCTAGAGATTACACAACGGGCTATTGCAGTCAGAATGGAAAAACCAATACTAGACAGGGCCATAGAGTACTCAGAAAGGAATTGCTTCACTAATGGGGCCAAATTAGCTCTAGACTACAGGCTGCTCCGTTCCCACCTGAACAACCTTAAAAGCAAGCATTGAAAATATCAAATTGTGGGCCGGGCGTGGTGGCTCACTCCTGTAATCCCAGCACTTTGGGAGGCCGAGGTGGGTGGATCACGAGGTCAAGAGATCGAGACCATCCTGGTCAACATGGTGAAACCCTGTCTCTACTAAAAATACAAAAACTTAGCTGGGCATGGTGGCGCATGCCTGTAATCCCAGTTATTCAGAAGGCTGAAGCAGGAGAATTGCCTGAACCCAGGAGGCGGAGGTTGCGGTGAGCCGAGATCGTGCCATTGCACTTCAGCCTGAGTAACAAGAGTGAAAGTCCGTCTCAAAAAAAGAAAATATCAAATTGTTTTCAAGTAGCTTAATTGCATCTCAGAACAAAGTTCAAGAATATGTAAAGGAATGAAGATGTCCTGCAAGGAACAATAAGAAATTCACAATGTCTGAAATCCAATCAAAATTGCCAGGCATGCATAGAAGAAGAATATGACCTATAATGAGGAGAAAAATCAGTCTATAAAAACAGACCCATTGAAATGGATTATAGAATTAGTGAACAAGGAAGTTAAACCAGCTATGAAAAGTGTACTCCATATGTTCTAGAAGGTAGAGGGCAACAAGAGCATTTTAAAAAAGAGATGTGAAAGAGACTTTTTAAAAAAGACCCAAATAAAATTGCTAGAGATGAAAAACACAGTCATTAACAAGAGTTGATGCTGTAGAAGAAAGGTTTAGTAATTAGAAGGACATAGCAGTGGAAATCATTTAAAATGAAACACACAGGAAAAAAGAAAAACAAACTAAAAAGCACAGTGCATCATTGAGTATATGAAAATATGTAATTGGAGTTTCTGAAAGAGAAAAGGGGAAGGAAAGGGGAGATAAAAAGAATTGAAGAAATAATGACTGAAAATATTCTAAATTTCACAAAATTTATTGAAATTTTATTCCAAATTATTTACCAAAGGTCTAGTGGATTCTTTCTTTTTCTTTTGTTGAGACAGTCTTGCTCTGTCACCCAGGCTGGGGTACACTGGCACAATCTCAGCTCACTGGATCCTCCACCTGCTGGGTTCAAAAGATTCTCATGCCTCAGCCTCCCGAGTAGCAGGGATTATTGGAGTGTGCCACCACACCAGGCTAATTATTGTAATTTTTAGTAGAGATAGGGTTTTGCCATGTTGGCCAATCTGGTCTTGCACTCCTGACTTCAAGGGATCCACCCACCTCAGCCTCCAAAAGTGCTAGGATTACAGGCGTGAGCCACTAGTGCCTGGCCAGATTATTTCCTGAAGCCATTCAAGACAGTCATTAGAAACTACAAAAACAAGAAATTTTATTTTTTTATGGACCCACAAAAGGACAGTAGTTTGTGGTTAACTCAGAAAAAGAGAGAGAGAGGCATACAAAAGACGGGAAGTGGCAGATATCTCCTACTTCTTCAGAACAAACTTCAGGTGATTTAATTCCAGCTCACTGATGATTTTAGATATTGAACATCTCCCAGAGATCATCTTATCTAATTTCCTTGGCTTATAAATTCAAGAACCAAGAATAAAGATATTGAATGACTTGTCCAAAGTCACATAAAATGTTAGTTACAGAATTGTCACTAGCACCGAAGTTCCTTGATTTCCAGTATTCTAGGACTCTGGAAGCACTCTAGGCTTTCCAGCAAATCGGAGAGAAAAACATCTCTCTCTCTCTCCTTTTTTTTTTTTAAGCCCTGGGCAATCCATAAGGTATCCCCAATGTACAAGTAAAATTCTCTGATCACATTACTCATTTTAGGGAATAACTATGAAAATGTGATCTGCTTTGAGGATGGATAGTCTGGTTTAACTGGCTATGAGGTTTGCTTGAGGATCAATGAGAGAAAGTACCTAGTAGTGGCTCCAGGACCTGGAACCCTATCACAGGACTGTGAGGGCAAAACTATTTTCTTAATAATGCTAAGACACTATTTGCCTTTTCATGCTTCTTCTTTTGTAAATACACAGTGGAATTTTCCAGAATCTACATGATGTATGATATCATAGCAGATTGAATGTACAAGGAGGTGTGAGACTACAGCTGTCTTCTATTGTCAGGCATTAGAAAATTAGAAAAACAATGCTACCATTCTCACTTTTTTTGTTTTGAAAATGTAATTTTTTCATAAAATATGTTATGTTAACATGTAACGGGTTTGTTGTCGCTGTTTAAAAATATATAATAGCCTGGGCATGGTGGCTCATGCCTGTAATCCCAGCACTTTGGGAGGCCAAGGCAGGCAGAGCACAAGGTCAAGAGTTCAAGACTAGCCTGGCTGATATTGTGAAACCCTGTCTCTACTAAAAATACAAAAAAAATTAGCTGGAATGGTGGCAGACATCTATAATCCCAGCTACTCGTGAGGCTGAGGCAGGAGAATCGCTTGAACCCGGGAGGTGGAGGTTGTGGTGAGCCAAGTGGCGCCACTGCATTCCAGTCTGGTGACAGAGAAAGACTCTGTCTCAAAAAAAAAAGAAAAAAGAAAAAAATATATATATATAATAAATATTTTAAAAGTTCCCTCAGTCTTAACTTCTAATTTAATAAATAGCTATAGTCCATATAAATAAAAGTTCCTTGGAGTCCCTTAGAGTGAAAAGGGATCCTAAAACAAAGAAGTTTAAGAATGGCTATTATACCAGGTTTCCAAAATCATGCTGAAGAATTTATTTTTCACTCTCAGGCTCATCACTAAAGAGTTTTGAACAGGGATGTGTCATGATCAGAGTCAGGCTTTAGTGAAGACTTGCCTGGCAATTTATGGGTGAATAGACAATGAAGAAGGAATGAAGATAAAACAGTCAGAAGGCTATAAAAGTGCAATCGAGATTCGGGGAGATAATGGACTAAATATGAGAAGGAGGCAAAACGATGTAGCAGTGGAAATTTTTTTTTCTTTGATTTTTTTTATTTTAAAGACAAACAGCAGATGTAACCATTATAATGTGCATAAATAGTCATAAAATTGTCTTTAACAGTCTTCCATACCAGTGTACTCTGCAAATAAAATGAATTTTACTTTAAAAAGTAAAGGCTGTCTATTATTTGGCCTTTGGTTCCAATGCTGGAAAGCCCAAAATAACAAAACTCATCTGCCTTCCTCCCACCTCCCAAAAAGAACCCTGCCTTGGTAGACTTTGGCAACCACTGAGCACATGACACTATGTATCAGTTTCTTCTGATACTAGGAGCATCCACTTGTCATGAGTAAATAAAAGTGGTCTCCAAGAAACCTTCCTTCACAAGACATGTGTCTTAGCATTTCATCAGTTTTAGTATATTTTAGATTGACACAAAAATTGCTTATCAGTTCAAATGATAAAAAATAAAAATTAAAATTTTGCATTAAAATTTAAAATTATACCATGTCCCTTTTAGGCATGTGCCTTTCCAGGAATTCTCGTTTCTGAGGTCACTCATTTAATTCCCAGGGACTAAGTGACCCTACTTTTACTGCGGCCACAAGCTGTTTGGCATCTACTGGTCACTATACCACGACTCTCATTCTACAGTCAGTTAACTCTCATTACCTAGACAACCTGGTAACTGGAAGCCACAATGTGTTTGTTTTTTAAACAAAACTGAATTTAAAAAGGAAAAAAAAAGTATATTTGAACAATAAAACTGGCACAAGAAATGTTTCTGTTGATACTCAAAGGCAAGTTGATACTCAGCTTTCTCCTTAACAGTGTTCAGACCTTTACGAAAGCAATTCAAGATAGTCTTAAGAGTCTTGTACACAACATAGGATATTAAGTTATGCCCAGTACTACATTAGTGGTCAGTCAAATCTGGTATGTAAAAGTAATTACATTAGGGAAGTTATGCTTAGGCACAGTGCAACAAACATTCATATAAAACAAGTAAATTCCACATGGTGAACTGTGGTTTTTTCCCTTGGTTTGACAACAATATTTTATACATTAAATTCATGGTAGTGTTTGTATTTAAATGCTGTCATATATAAAATTAAAAGTGCCATTTCAAATCCACAGCAATCATTTCCAGCATGGTGTATGACATGACAATGTGCATGAATTTGCCCTAAGTGGGGAGACACCTGAAACTCTTATTTCTGTAAGAAAAAAAATGCTACATTTTATGAAAACACGTAACAACAGAAATGTATCATTTCCATTTTCAGTATAAAACAATCATACCTATCTGTCCATCTGATAGCACTGATCAGACCAGGAAGCTAGGATATACCCCTTGGCATTAGTGGAACTCCGTGAAGCTTTCCACAGATCATAAGGCAGGGAGTGGTATAAGCCAATTAACCAGAGTGCAGTTACATTAAAAACCTCCCGAAAACTTTCTGTGGCACATTGCATTATGGTAAAATGAGAGGTTGATCACCCATTTCTATTAGTAGGCCAGCCTGTGGTAATAAAAATGAAAAATTTAATTTAAAAAACAAAGCAGGAGCTATTTTGAAAACAAAATTCAAAGTAAACTAATTCTGTAACTGCTGACTTTGAAGACATCCCACAGTGACTGTCTGCCCCACAACACATATATGCGGTGCCAGCATCTCTCACGAGGACATAGCTGGGCCAAGCACATGGGTCCTGCGCAGCTGCCATCGTTCCCACCCCTGGGTCAGCCCCACCTGACTCAGGCACTCCCACAATTAATACATCTTTCAAAAGTTAAAGATGCATTCGGAATAAGCCTAATTCCAATTTTGCTTAGTGTTTTGTTTGGAAATGCTTCTAACAATGATTCTTCGATTTCTGCTGAACACACAGTATTCACTAACACTGCTTATCTCTTCCTTCCTCCACCTCCCCCAACATTCAACTTCCCCACCATCACTTCTCTCATTACACCTTCTGGTCTTTCTTTCCTGGACTTGCTGCTACTTAATCTGCTTCCCAAGAACAAGTGAATTTGTTAACATGAAACTGGTCAGAGTAACCATCATCTCACCAATGATTTCTTGGTCTCCTTTGCTCCACCCTGATAGAAAGTGGGCCCTCTTTCTTTCACTCTAACTTCCCCTCCACAAGAAGCCCAGATGCACTTGCTTCCCACAAAAGAGCCACATGCCTGAGAGTCCAAGGGTTATCCTTAACAAAGGGGTCTGACATGTCACCTTCCTAAATGTGCATTTCACACTTGGACAAGCCAATGAAGTGTTTTTGTTTTTGTTTTTTTAAAGTTCATCTCCCCTGCCCCAAAAAACTGATAGCATGTGCCGTATCAGAAAAACCCTGGTCTTAGCAGATCAATATACATAGTTATTTGGTCATTCGACATATGCACTTTTTAAGGAGGTTCAGCCTTCATTTTCTGTTGAGTTTGTTACCACGGAGTCTGGCTTTCGAGTCATTCCACCCAGTTCTTCCTAAGCATTTGACAAAACAGTCTTTTGTCATGACTTCTTAGCTGTGCTCTGCACCCCACCAGCACCAGGACTTCCAGGAGAGCCTGTCTTTTTACTCAAGAGACTGTTGAAGAAGTTGACCAACACCCCTTCATTTGCTGCATTATTTTTGATGTTTGGGTCTAGCTTCTTAACTGATGTGCCTGGGGAGGAGCTAGGCACACTGGCTGGCCCTCCCCGACCCTGGGTCCTTGGAGAGCCAGAGGGTCCTCTTGCAGGAGATTCGGAGGCTCTCGTGGGTGTGGCTGGCTCCTTGGCAAGGAGTGACTGTTGCTTTATTAGGAACACCTGCTCATCTTCTGCTGCCAAGTCTTTGTCGTGGACCAGCTTTCTGATGGGAGGTTTCACAATAAAGTCTTCGTATGCATCTTCTGGCTTCGCGGTTGTAACATTTTCATGTAAAATAGCTCTTTTCTTTTCATTGTCCCAGCCTGCAGGTATAAAAACAGCATCCTTTTCCACAACTAAGGCAGGTGTGATGAAGTGGAAACCGTACGTTTTATGAACAATATACTTATACAACAAGTCAAGGTTTTTCTCTTCTTTCACTGATGTGTAAATCAAAGCAGCTCCATACTGAAGGCAGGACCTCCGCAGGTGTGACTGGATAAAGTCCAAATGCTCATCCCTGTAGTCTTGCTCCTTCTCCAGGACACTAACCGCATCACACTTTGTGCACACAACCAACACTGGGATCCCTAGGTTATGAGTCAGCACATTGTCACCCAGAGGCAGGGCAACATTTTCCTCATCAGAGCCTGAGGTCAGAGGGCCTCTTCTCTGTGGGGAACCTTGACAACCTTCTTCAGGTTCCACATAGTCTTGAAAATCTTTCACAAACTTCCGTTCCAGCTCCCTCATTTTTTCTGGTGGAATTTTCATTTTATCAATGTGCTCACGTAAAACGCTAGCCCATTTCTGCAGAGATCCCATCACAGTCCAAGGTCTAGACATGTCTGCAACAAAAATGACGAGGGTCTCTGGCAAGGATTCAGCAGAAACTGCAAATTTCAGCAGGCCTTTGTGGCACAAGTCTCCATCCAGAATCCACACATTGCAGCGTGTGTGATCATCTCGGTCCTCATAGTGCACGCTGAGGTAGAGATATTCTAGGTCTCTTCCTTTTTTGCCATGCTCAGCTCCTTGTAGTTTAGTCATGAGGGTTGTTTTACCAGAACCATCTTCACCGAAGACCAGGATGTTCTTGCCGGGCGGCAGCTTAGACCTGGCGCGGGTGGACACTTCGCTCAGGATGGAGGACCATAGGCTCTGGCCCTCCTCCTCCTCACTGGTCAGGCCCGTTGGGGCCCAGCAACAGCTTCTTTTCCACCCCTACCGGCACCATCTTGTCAACTGCCGTAGCAGTGGAACTTACAGAAGAAACAGTGATGAGATTCAAGGGTCACTGGAGAGAAAAATGATCGATATGTTACCTAGATGACCAAAACAGTGGCAGTACCGTTAACAAAAATAAAAAAGTCAAGAGGATGAGTTTTAAGTTTTGAACTGTTAATGTTGAAGTAAAATTGTGAATACAACGTGCAGAGAGTTGGAAGTGTGGAACTAGAGTTTAAGAAAGGTTAGTTCATGTTGGAAAGATGGAGTTAAATGGTATTTGAGGTTTGGGGAGCTGAAAAATTCCCCAGGGAGATGGAGGGACTGGGCTGGAGACAGCGGGGCGGGGGAAGAGACTCCATAGGGCCAATAGGGGAGGTGTCAATCCTAAAGGTAGAGTTAGCACTAGGATTTTGCAATGCCTCTGAAGCCAGGAGGAGTGCTTCTAGAAGGAGAAAGAAGAGTTAATGGTACCCAGAAGCCCATAGAGGTAGGAGCTAAAATAATTTCTGTGATGTCTCAGGAATCTTCAAATATAATTTTATTGGAGTGGTGGATATGAGTCAGAGTTCAGAGGGCTAAGGAATGAGTGTGGGTTGGGAAACTCCAAAAACAAGTTTGCCCATAAGAAAATAAAGTGAGAGAAAATGGTAGCCAACCCAGAGAATAGATAAACTCTGAGGACGAAAACATGCAGAAAAAGAAAAAAAAATCCTAGAAAAACTTACTGGTTGAAGTCAAAAAGAAGGAGCCTGAAAAGTGGGCCAGGATTGGTTAGTGCCCACGAAAATGAGATTGGCTAGAATGTGAGGGAAAAAAGCAGCTAACAGTGTCCATGAAAAGCTTATATGCCTAGAAAACTCCTGGAGATTTTATAGTAGTAAAACTTTTGCAAGTGGTTTCCTCTGAAAAGTAGGACTCATGGAGATTTCCTTTTTGTATTTATTCTTCTGTATAATTTGAGTTTGAAATCTTTAAGATCATGAACCCATGTTTATTTTATAATTTAAAATATATAAATTTTTAACAATCTGTGTCAAGTTCAAAATTTTAAACAATTTGACCTTGATGAATTGGAAGGAAAAATTGAAGAAGGTATCTCTTACTACGTATATATACACTTTAGAATTTCTTCATGTGCATAAACTTCCTTTATAATTTAAAAAATGTAAGAGAAAATATTGTCATCAGGAGGAAAAATAAATAGTTGGTACTATGTTCTATAACATTCACCTTTTTTTTTTTTTTTTGAGACAGAGTTTCACTCTTGTTGCCCAGGTTGGAGTACAATGGTACGATCTCAGCTTGCTCCAACCTCTGCCTCCCGGATTCAAGCAATTGTCCTGCCTCGGCCTCCCCAGTAGCCGAGATTACAGGCGCATGCTGCCGTGCCCGGCTAATTTTGTATTTTTAATAGAAATGGGGTTTCACCATGTTGGTCAGGCTGGTCTTAAACTCCTGACCTCAGGTGATCTGCCTGCCTCGGCAAAGTGCCTCCCAAAGTGCTGGGATATAGTCATGGGCCACCACACCCAGCCAACATTCACCTTTTGGTGCTAGGCAGGAGGATATAAAGTCCCTGCTCTCGGAGAGTAAAGAGACAGGACATGATGCAAAATGGCTTCTAAATCCCAGCCCAGGATACAGAGTAAAAACATTGTGGGACAAATTAAAGCTACATTTAAAGACTTTAAGGTGCCTGGCATATGGTAGGCACTCAATAAATATTAGTTATTATGATTTGTCACTTTATATTTATATTTAGTATATTATAAAATATAAATGTAGTAGCCTTAGGCCTCTAATAATTCAATTAATATTTACAGAACACAATGCCTGCACATGTGTCAGAGATTAGAAAATGAATGAGATATTATCCTTTCCTTAAAAGCTAATTGGCAGGCTGGGCGAGGTGGCTCACGCCTGTACTCCCAGCACTTTGGGAGGCCAAGGCAGGCAGATCCTGAGGTCAGGAGTTCGAGACCAGCCTGGCCAACATGGTGAAACCCCATCTCTACTAAAAATACAAAAATTAGCTGGGTGGGGTGGCGGGTGCCTATAGTCCCAGCTACTCGGGAGGCTGAGGCAGGAGAATCGTTTGAACCCGGGAGGCAGAGGTTGCAGTGAGCTGAGATCATGCCACTGCACCCAATTCTGGGTGACAGAGCAAGACTCTGTCTCAAAACAAAAAACAAAACAAAACAAAAGCTAATTGGCAAACAAAATATAAAAAAATATATAATAATGCAGGTCAGTGTATGCCATATTCCAAATATGTGATCCAGACACAAGTGGTTCTGCAACTGAAGATTAGAGAAATCGCAGAGAACAGGAGCAATTAGGAAAAGCATTGCAGAGATAAGACATGAATGGACCTTGGAGAATAGGTCAATAGAGAAAAGGGCATCCTAGGGGAAAAAATATGACGAGCAGAGACTGGAAACAAAAAAGATGTGTGGTCTAAGTATAATTTGTTATGCTGGACGGGATCCTGAAACAGCAAAAGGACGGTAGTATGAAAACTGGTGTTGAGTCAAAAGTAATATACTAGGTACGTTTGTCAGTTTGCTCCTTTTTGCCTGTGGACGCCGCCAAAGAAGCATTGTTAAAGTCTCTCTTCTCCCTGCGATCATGTCTAAGTCAGAGTCTCCTAAAGAGCCGGAACAGCTGAGGAAGCTCTTCATTGGAGGGTTGAGCTTTGAAACAACCGATGAGAGCCTGAGGAGCCATTTTGAGCAATGGAGAACGCTCACAGACTGTGTGGTAATGAGAGATGCAAACACCAAGAGCTCCAGGGGCTTTGGGTTCATCACGTATGCAACTGTGGAGGAAGTGGATGCAGCCATGAATGCAAGGCCACACAAAGTGGATGGAAGAGTTGTGGAACCAAAGAGAGCTGTCTCAAGAGAAGATTCTCAAAGACCAGGTGCCCACTTAACTGTGAAAAAAATATTCCTTGGTGGCATTAAAGAAGACACTGAAGAACATCACCTAAGAGATTATTTTGAACAGTATGGAAAAATTGAAGTGATTGAAATCATGACTGACAGAGGCAGTGACAAGAAAAGGGGCTTTGCCTTTGTAACCTTTGATGACCATGACTCTGTGGATAAGATTGTCATTCAGAAATACCATACTGTGAATGGCCACAACTGTGAAGTTAGGAAAGCCTTGTCAAAGCAAGAGATGGCTAGTGCTTCATCCAGCCAAAGAGGTCGAAGTGGTTCTGGAAACTTTGGTCGTGGTCGTGGAGGTGGTATTGGTAGGAATGACAACTTTGGTCGCGGAGGAAACTTCAGTGGTCATGGTGGCTTTGGTGGCAGCTGTGGTGGTGGTGGATATGGTGGCAGTGGGGATGGCTATAATGGATTTGGTAATGATGGAAGCAATTTTGGAGGTGGTGGAAGCTACAATGATTTTGGCAGTTACAACAATCAGTCTTCAAATTTTGGACCAATGAAGGGAGGAAACTTTGGAGGCAGAAGCTCTGGCCCCTATGGTGGTGGCGGCCAATACTTTGCCAAACCACGAAACCAAGGTGGCTATGGCGGTTCCAGTAGCAGCAGTAGCTGTGGCAGTGGCAGAAGATTTTAATTAGGAAACAAAGCTTAGCAGGAGAGGAGAGCCAGAGAAGTGACAGGGAAGCTACAGGTTACAACAGATTTGTGAACTCAGCCAAGCACAGTGGTGGCAGGGCCTAGCTGCTACAAAGAAGACATGATTTAGACAAATACTCATGTGTATGGGCAAAAAACTCGAGGACTGTATTTGTGACTAATTGTATAACAGGTTATTTTAGTTTCTGTTCTGTGGAAAGTGTAAAGCATTCCAACAAAGGGCTTTAATGTAGATTTTTTTTTCTTTTTCTTTTTTTTTTTTTTTTGCACCCATGCTGTTGATTGCTAAATGTACTAGTCTGATCGTGATGCTGAATGTCTTTTTTAAAAAAAAAAAAAGTAATATACTGATATTGTTTTCTTAACTTTGACAAATGTATCATGATAATGTAAGATGTTAACATTAGAGAAAACTGGATAAGCACACATATAGGAATTCTCTGTACCAACCTATAATTTTTCTGTACATCTAAAAATTATTCCAAATTAAAGTTTATCTTTAAAAACATGCATGGTAAGTTCATGAACTAGTGAGTAAACGAATACCGCCAAAGCTGAGAATTTAGTTAGAAAGATAATGATAAATTAAGATGGACAGGTAGGTAAGTCCTAGATTGCAGAAGACTTTGAATGCCTGGCTAAAGGTTTCTGATTTAATCCTGCAATTCATGTAGTGTCTTTGAAAATAGCCGAGCGATGAGGTGTTTGGAGAAAGGAGTCTTCAAATAGGTGGCCCAGAAAGTCTTATGTCACCATCAACATTGACTTCCATTTGTCTATTTCTAAAAACCACCACAAATGACAAGCTAACATATTATTTTTCATATTTCCCTCAGTTATTAAAATGCTAATGTTCAATAAAAGTACCAGGTAATGGGAGAGAAGCAAACATTGTATCCTTCCCCTCATGAATCATTGAGCCCTAAATAATGATGACTTGGTCTCACTCAATATCCATAGTGCTAGAAGCAGATCTTTCTCTATGAAAAGTTAGTGTTGCAATGAACTTCCGCTTTTACTGTCAGCCAAGAACAGTCCCTTGAAGGATATTGCTTCACTGTAGGAAAATCATTTAAAGGACCCTCCAAGTTGAGAAAATGTAAGGCAAACAGTTTTTGCCTGAGAGTTTGTGTGTAGGTGTACGTGTCCAAAATGAGCATGTTTGTTGCTTAACCACATCCACATCTGCCTTTCCCCTTTGCATGCAACAGGGAGATTCATTATTGGGGTGTGCCGAGTTAGTCCAGTGGCAGGAAAAGATGCTAAGACAGACCAAACTAGGATTTATGAAGAAGACCTATGTGTTCCAGCATGTCAGGAGGCTGGGATTGGGTTCTTTTCCAGCCTTGGCCCACCTGGCTCAGTGCTAAGCATTGCAGGGAAAAACAGATGA